ACAGAAGGCCCTGTGACGGTTGTCCCTGTGTGCTTCTGTCTGAGCATTTCCTTTTTTTTTTTTTTTTTTTTTTTGACATTTCTGATCTGTTACACAGATCCAGAAGCCAGCGAGGTTTCAGATGCATGAGCTGTTTCTGAAATTAATGTTCAAAAACGCCCAAGTCCATACTTGTGAGAGCACCATGTGAGCACCTGTGTGCGTACGCGGTTGTGTATGTAAGGTTTTTCTACAGAGGAGTCCAGTAGTGAGTGTGAGGGTCCACAAACCTGCCACCCAAGACCCACGAAGATGGAGGATATTGGAGATCTAAGCCCTAATAGCCATAATGGCAAGCCCCATGCCCCACTCACAGCCACTCACTCCAGGGCAGGCCGAGCTCAGGCCTCTGTGGCTCGAGACCTAAGGGCACCCAGACCCTGATGAAGACCCAACGGCGCCCATGGGCCCAGGCCCCACCAGGCAGCCACCAGGAGTGAACCGGCAGATGCCACAACACCCAGCCCCGGAGGCACCACCCACTAGCAGGAAACATGGCAGGGGAGGATGGGCCAGAGATGTTGTAGTGCCACAAAAATGGTAAACGGCCTGTATTTGTATAGCGTCTTCTTAGGGTTCTACAACCCCCCAAGGTGCTTCACAACACAGTTGTTCACCCATTCTCGCACACATTCACACCCTGGTGGTAATGAGCTACATTGTAGCCACAGCTGCCCTGGGGCAGATTGACAGAGGCGGGCCTGCCGTACACAGGCACCACCGGTCCCTCCGATCACCACCAGCAGGCAAGATGGGTTACGTGTCTTGCCCAAGGACACAGCAGCAGCATTCTCTGGTCAGAGCCGGGATCGAACCTGCAACCTTCTGATTTCCAGACGAACCACTCTACCTCCTGAGCTGCTGCTGTCACAAGATGTCCTAGAAGAGGGGAGGAGTCCAAGACCGTACCTGACAGACACAGTCACGCACTCCCACCCTCATGCTCACACCTAAACACACAATAATGCACACCACACACCCACTCACACTCAGCATACACACTCTGGTCTAGGCACCGCTGCACAGAGGGTGCAACCATTCCTGGACCCTGGAGGCCTCCAGCCTTGGGCAGCGAACTGAGAACAGAGGTGTGAGAAGACCCCTAGCCTCCCTCCACGTGCTCCAGTGTGGTGTTGATTCGTGTTGTTATGCAAGTTCTGTTGAGTTCTCCTTTTAGAGTTTCGACATAAAGGATGATGTTTATCAGGCTCTGTTAGATCACAGGTTTTGAAAAAGCTCACCTCTAATGAGATAACTTGGTCTGTTTATCAATTTAGCTTTATTTATCTGAACTATTGAAGATTTCACAAAGCAGGACTGAGAACGTGCTTCCTGTTGTGTGGCTGGAAAGTTAAATCTGTCTATTTTATCGGACTGTTTCCTTAAATAGATCTGTGCATCTCCTCCTTGAACCGTCACCTTATCGTGGTGGAGGAGTTTGAGTGCCCTAATGATCCTAGGAGCTATGTTGTCTGGGGCACTTAGTGCCCCTGGTAGGGTCTCCCATGACAAATTGGTCTTAGGTGAAGGGTGAGACAAAGAACGGTTCGAAGGATCTTTCATGGCGGTTAAAACGAAGAGTCGGAGTACCCGGCCCGGAGGGTTACCGGGGTCCCACCCTGGAGCCAGGCCTGGGGTTGGGGCCCGTGAGCGAGCGCCTGGTGGCCGGGCTTTCGCCCATGGGGGCCGGCCGGGCCCAGCCCGAACCGGATACATGGGCTCGTCCAACTGTGGACCCACCACCCGCAGGAGGAACATGAAGGGTCCGGTGCAATGCGAATCGGGTGGCAGACCAAGGCGGGAGCCTTGGCGGTCCAATCCCCGGACAAGAAAACTAGTTTTTGGGACATGAAACGTCACCTCGCTGGCGGGGAAGGAGCCGGAGCTTGTGGCAGAGGTTGAGCGGTACCGGCTAGATGTAGTCGGACTCACCTCGACACATTGCATTGGCTCTGGAACCCGAGACCTGGAGAGGGGTTGGACACTCTACTTTGCTGGAGTTGCTCCGGGTGAGAGGCGGAGGGCTGGGGTTGGCTTTTTGTTAGCCCCGAGACTCTCTGCCTGTGTGTTGGGGTTTACCCCGGGGGACAAGAGGGTAGCTTCCTTGCGCCTTCGGGTCGGGGAAAGGGTCCTGACTGTTGTTTGTGCTTATGGGCCAAATATCAGTTCAGAGTACCCACCCTTTTTGGAGTCCCTGGGACGAGTGCTAGATAGTGCTCCATCAGGGGACTCCATTGTCCTGCTGGGGGACTTCAATGCTCACGTGGGCAATGACAGCTTGACCTGGAGGGCTGTGATTGGGAGGAACGGCCCACCTAATCTGAACTCGAGCGGTGTTTTGTTATTGGACTTCTGTGCAAGCCGCAGTTTGGCCATAACGAACACCATGTTCGAACATAAGGATGCCCACCGGTACACTTGGTACCAGGGCAGCCTAGGTCACAGGTCGATGATAGATTTTGTAGTCGTATCATCTGACCTGCGGCCGTATGTTTTGGACACCCGAGTGAAGAGAGGGGCGGAGCTGTCAACTGATCACCACCTGGTGGTGAGTTGGATCAGATGGCAAGGGAACATGCCACGTAGACCTGGCAGACCCAAACGCATAGTGAGGGTCTGCTGGGAACGCCTGGCAGAAGAACCTGTCAAGACGGTCTTCAACTCCCACCTCCGGCAGAGCTTTGACCACGTCCCGAGAGCAGTGGGGGACATTGAGTCCGAGTGGGCCTTGTTCCACTCTGCGATTGTCGAGGCGGCTGTTGCTAGCTGTGGTCGTAAGGTGGCCGGTGCCAGTCGTGGTGGCAACCCCCGTACCCGCTGGTGGACACCAGAGGTTCGGGGAGCCGTCAGGCTGAAGAAGGAGGCCTACCAGGCGTGGCTGGTCTGTGGGTCTCCGGAGGCAGCAGACAGGTACCGGATAGCCAAGCGGGGTGCAGCAGTGGCAGTTGCCGAGGCAAAATCTCGGGCGTGGGAGGAGTTTGGTGAGGCCATGGAGAAAGACTATCGATCGGCTCCAAAGAGGTTCTGGCAAACTGTCCGGCGCCTCAGGAGAGGAAGGCAGCAACTCGCTCACACTGTTTACAGTGGGGATGGGGAGCTGCTGACGTCAACTGAGGCTATAGTCGGACGGTGGAAGGAATACTTTGAGGAGCTCCTCAATCCCACCAATGCGCATTCCGAGGAGGAACCAGAGCTGGGAGGCCTGGGGATGGACTGTCCGATCTCGGGGGCAGAAGTTGCTGAGGTAGTCAAACAACTACACAGCGGCGGAGCCCCGGGGGCGGATGAGGTTCGTCCTGGGTATCTCAAGGCTATGGATGTTGTAGGGCTTTCATGGTTGACACGTCTCTACAACATTGCGTGGTCATCGGGGGCAGTTCCTAGGGAGTGGCAGACCGGGGTGGTGGTCCCCATCTTTAAGAAGGGTGACCTGAGGGTGTGTTCCAACTATAGGGGGATCACACTCCTCAGCCTCCCTGGAAAGGTCTACTCCAAGGTACTGGAGAGGAGGGTCCGATCGATAGTTGAATCTCAGATAGAGGAGGAGCAATGTGGTTTTCGTCCTGGCCGTGGAACTGTGGACCAGCTCTATACCCTTGCAAGGGTGATGGAGGGGGCATGGGAGTTTGCCCAACCAATCCACATGTGCTTTGTGGATTTGGAGAAGGCTTATGACCGTGTCCCCAGGGGCACCCTGTGGGGGACGCTCCAGGAGTATGGGGTGGGTGGCTTTCTGTTAAGGGCCATTCAGTCCCTTTACCAGAGGAGCGTGAGTTTGGTCCGCATAGCCGGTAGTAAGTCGGACCTGTTCACAGTGAGGGTTGGACTCCGCCAGGGCTGCCCTTTGTCACCGGTTCTGTTCATCACTTTTATGGACAGAATTTCTAGACGCAGCCGTGGTGTGGAGTGTGTCGAGTTTGGTGGCAGGAGAATCTCGTCTCTGCTTTTTGCGGATGATGTGGTCCTCCTAGCTTCATCCAGCTCAGACCTTCAGCTCTTGCTGTGTAGGTTCGCGGCCGAATGTGAAGCGGCTGGGATGAGGATCAGCACCTCCAAATCTGAGACCATGGTTCTCGACCGGAAAAGGGTGGCTTGCCACCTCCTGGTCGGGGGAGAGGTCCTACCTCAAGTGGAGGAGTTTAAGTATCTCGGGGTCTTGTTCACGAGTGAGGGTAGGAGGGATCGGGAGATCGACAGGCGGATTGGTTCGGCGTCTGCAGTGATGCGGACGCTGAGCCGATCTGTCGTGGGGAAGAGGGAGCTGAGCCAGAAAGCCAGGCTCTCGATTTACTGGTCGATCTACGTCCCAATCCTCACCTATGGTCATGAGCTTTGGGTAATGACCGAAAGAACGAGATCGCGGATACAAGCGGCCGAAATGAGTTTCCTCCGTAGGGTGGCCGGGCTCAGCCTTAGAGATAGGGTGAGGAGCTCGGACATTCGGGAGGGACTCGGAGTAGAACCGCTGCTCCTCCGGATCGAAAGGAGCCAGTTGAGGTGGTTTGGACATCTGGTCAGGATGCCTCCTGGACGCCTCCCCGGGGAGGTGTTTCGGGCATGTCCTGCCGGCAGAAGGCCCCCGGGTCGACCCAGGACACGTTGGAGAGGTTACATCTCCAATCTGGTCCGGGAACGCCTTGGGGTCCTGCCGGAGGAGCTGGTGGACAAGGCCGGGGAGAGGACGGCCTGGAGCTCCCTAGTTGGGATGCTGCCCCCGCGACCCGGACCCGGATAAGCGGAGGAAGACGACGACAACGACAACGAGATCTGTGCATACTGTTGCAGCACCAGTAGCAGCTACGCTCTGCATAAAACTTCCTTTTGGATTTATTTGACAAACAACATCTTTTAGTGCTCAATAGCTTGATTCTGTGGATGTTACGGGGGACGTGTGACCTCTGGGAAACAGGTTCGATTGCTGTGACTTCTCACTGATCTTTTCTCTTGTATTTGTTTTCAAGCCGAAGCAGCGCACCTCTCTGTCTTCATCTCTGGATGTCCAGAGGCCAGTTAACCACAGCTGTGAGCCCAGTGAGGTGAGCTCATCTCTGGGCTACGCCAGCTTCAGCACCAGCCCTCCTGCCAGCCCTCCTCTCAGCCCAAACCAGGAGGACTCCGCAGGCTCCAACGACGACTGCCAGTTCACAGGTAACAACAGTTTATCAGCCACGTGTAAGAGGGGCAGTGCTTCTCCAGACGGAGCCTGACCTCTGACCTCTGCTCTGTAAAGTAGCACATTAAGGTGTATCACAAAACCCTGAACATCAGTTTAATGTTACAGATTCCTAAAGCAATCACCCAGACTTTATTATGAAACTAAAATAGTAAACTAAGTTTTACTGGAAATGATCGTCTTTCAGATGAAGTGTTGCTGCATATTTTCTCTTCTCTGGAAGTTCAACACAGTTTTAGTTGAGATGAATGCATTTTTGGCTTTTAAATATTTTATATTTTTGTGCTGCAGGATTATTTATACGTTCAGTTAAAACCCACACGAGTCTTTTTAAAACGTGTTTCTGAGGCTTCTCTTCTCCGGTACCTGCCTTTGGCCTTGGTGCAGGTGGTGGTTAATGTCCTTCAGCCTGAGGATAAAAAAAAAGATTATTCCTTTTGCCTCGGGTCCCAGGAAATTGAAATCATATTTCTGCTCTTGTCACATGGGAAGCTACAGCCGAGAGGTAAAAAGCTTAAATGTCAACATCGAGGAAAGAACCTGGATCTGGGCCAAGGAGATGTTGGCAGCGCAGCGTCATGTTCCAGTAGAGCAGGGCTATTCAATTATGTGCCTTGAGGGCCGGTATCCAGCATGTTTTAGTGGTTTCTCTGGTCCAACACACTAGATTGAGTGGTTGAATCACCTGTGCAGCAGCTAATCAGGCTCTGCAGAAGCCTGTTAATCACCTGCTGATTGATATTGGGTGTGTTTACGCAGATCAGAACTTCCATATCTAGGAGAGCTGAATTCTGGATGTAAAAGAATTTGGTTTGCTTTAAGCTATGAAGTTGATTATTATCAAAAGCACATCAGACGCTATCTGTGTGTCTACGTCACCCGTTTTCGGAGACCCTCTTGGTGGATCCGAAGGTCAGAGAGGTCGGCTGACCTCTGGCACCGAAGGGCTATAGAATACAGTGGCACCGACTCTTCAGTCCAGAGATGTCTCGGGTCACGACAGATGGATGGAACCGTGCGTCTGGGACTCTGAAGGAGTCTAAACAATATCAGCTTGTTCTGCAGGAACTGTTTGCCGTATCAGCTTTGCAGGTGCAAAAAAGTTTTGACGACATGTCAAAAGCTTTGATGGTTAAAGAGGATTTTTCTTCAGGTGGCCGGTCTGAAGCTTTCTTTAGAACTGAGGAATCACCAGAGTAATCTGGTTTTAATGTTCTCATGTTATGATTGTGTAGCCAACCAGAGGTTGACAAGTTTGAGGAATATTACCAAGAATCTCAGAAGCACAGCCTTCTTTGATACCGGATGCTCTGATCTGGGTAAAGGGCTATTTATGTGTCATGGGTTTAACTTAACTTTACTTTGTCCTTGTGTGAGCGCAAATGGTGATGACCTTGTCACGTAAACATGCCGAAACTTATTTCAATCACTGTAATTGTAACATAACATTCATTTCAGACTTCAGTCATTGAGCACAGATTAATGAAGCATTTTGTTATATTATAATTATTATAAGTAGCAATAAACAATCATTTATTTAGTGATTAACTAGCTTATAAGTTGTAGAAGTTCAAATCTGATTTAGGTAATTATTCCTTGAATTAGCAACTAATCCAGGCTGCGAGTGTTCCTAATATGGAGGCATGAAGAATCATGAAAGATTGGACCTTGAGGAGAGAATATTATTGTTGACATTTCGTTATCTGTGTTCAGAGCTGCAGGCTCTGAGCTCCAGCTGGTGGGATGGAGGCAGGCTGATTTAAAGGGGGCACATGCAGTCTCGTGTCTCCTTTTTGACCAGATGTTGAATGGTCAAACAGAACCTAAAAACTGACCATTGCTGGACGTTGCAGTACAACCATTACCGGTTCCCAGAGTTCAACCCTTTCTGCTGGGGTGCTGATGAGCAGGCTCTAACACAGTCTAAGCATGAAAACAAACATGTTTGAAGCCATGATGCCTCTGTGTTGAATCTCTCCAGATAAACCTGCAGCTTCTGTAAAGCAGCTTTTCAGAGTTTTGATAAGGTCATGTTTTAATCTTTAGCCTTTTGGCTGTTCTGATGCTCTGTTGGTTTCCTCTAACAACACTCCCCTAAAGCTCCTACCAAAGAAACACGAGCAGTAATGAATGAGGTGCTCACACACAAGTCTCATGATTAGGTCAGCTGAGTCCACACACACACACACACACACATGCACACGCACACACGCACGCACTAGCAGGCTGACTCCTCCAGCTCTCTTCTGGTTCCTGATCACTGAGAGAGAGTTACCGACTTACACCCAGGTGAGAGAAGGAGGGATTAACAAATATGTCACCAGGTTACCACGGTCACCACTTCAACATGACAGCAACGGGTCTCGTTTCTATGGTAACACAAGCAATGATCTAGGACACAACACACGATTCAGGAGTAAATAAGACCATTAATAATAAAACTCGTGGGATAAATAACCCATAATTTAAAAGAACTTAAACCAGATCTGCTCATTTCCACTGGAGCAGCAACTTCAAACAGGTGGTTTTAGAAAAAAAACCACAAACAGGAACATCTCAGCATGATTTTCAAGCTCCTGTTTATGACGCAAATAAATTAAAGTTAACGTGTGTGTGTGTGTGTGTGTGTGTGCGTGTGTGCGTGTGCGCGTGTGTGCGTGTGCGCGTGCGTGTGTGTGTGCGCGTGCGTGCGTGCGTGTGTGAGAGAGATCCAAGAGGAGTCCAGTGCCTTTGATCTGTGAAAAGCACATCATTAAATCAGGAGTGTGTGCACACATAAGATACTCAGCTATAGAAACGGGTGAACTTGACACATCTTCAGCTTTTGTTCCTATTGACATGCTGCTGTAAGCCTTTCAGGAACAACATCTGTGTTATTTACCTTTTTCAATCTGTTCGCTCATCTCTGGCCCATTCCTCATGTCGGAGGTCTTCTGAGGGATGATTATTCCTCCGTGGAAAAGTTCTTTTCACTCTGAAATATCAGAAAAATCTACAGCATCTCAACTGCTAATGCCCTTTAACCTTTAATCGCCGTAAGTCTTTGGTGCATCACTCTGCTACCTGTTCGTTCAGTGAATGGGGTGTGTGGGTACACTAATCTGACTGCGCTGAGACTCTCATTACTCTTTTAAACTCACCCCCTAAGCTATTCCCACTCAGAAGGAACAGCAAATGATCGAGGCTGCCGAGCGTCATCAGAGAGCAAACGCTTGTGCTGTTTTTACTTTGAGAAACACACTGGGAAAGCTGCCCTTGCTGCTTTAGAGACACCTGTGTGTCAAACTCAGCCTGAATCTTCTGAGAACATCAGCAGGAAAAATCACATGAAGGCTCACTGCTGTGGGTTCTGGTTCTGGTGAGAGCGTTTGTTTCTAACCAATCAGACGCAGGATCACAGAGGTAGAACCCACTCATCTGCTGCTTATTTGAGACCGGGTTGCAGTAGCTTAGGCAGAGATCCACAGAATTCCCTCTTCCTGTCCTACAACTTATCCAGTGGGACTCGATCCATTCCCATGTCAGCTGTTGGATGTCATCTCTCCAGCAAGACCTGGACCTGTCTAGAGGTCTCCTCCATTGTCTGAAACACCTCCCTCTGAAGGCGTTTTTACCTTTATACCACCTCACCTGTGGGTTTGCAAAAGGTCCCAGAGCCGCTGCTCCCAGCTGAATAATCAAATTCTGACAAAAACTTTATGAAAACTCTTTCAGTGGTCAGGGTTACCAGGGTTCAGATATAAGGGATGTGAAACGCCCTTACTCCCAACCTACACCACAACAGAACACCGTGAGGAACTTCTTCAGGTCAACAAACCCATGAAAACCAGTGGTTCAAATTCTCAAGCGTCCTCAGATATCCCAGTAAGGGTAAAAGTCTGAATATAGGACTCCGTCATCAATAGGACCTCTCTTCCAGCAGCCTGATGTGAACTGAGCTGGACTAAACACTCACAAAAACACATTATTATTATTGTTATTAGTACTTTTTGCCATTTTTGGCACTGTTTTCAAAATCAGAAAAAGGAAGCTTTTTAAAATAAAGTTCTGCCACGAGGGAATAGAACTCAAGTTAAAGCATCATTTATTCCGAATGAACACCTGTTTTATTTTTTATGCATCCCTCCACCAGAATTAGATCGACACTCATTTATTTCCTTCAAAATGTTTTTCCTCCTTCGCTCATCCCTCTCTACTTATTTACTTTCATAAGGCCCATTGTGGGGTTACCATGGTAACACGTAGCTTCCACAGAGGGAGACGGACAGAATGAGAGTGCTGAGCGTATATGTATGTGGGTACAGAAGGCAGAGTCTCAGGATTCAAAGGATGCCTATGGCAAGCCAAATGAGCATTTATTCTGATATCAGGATATCAGCCAGAATTGTCATGAACATGTAAGCCATTTCTGTCCACTAGTTAACTAGTTAGCCATGTTTGTGTCAACTAGTTAAATAGTGACAGCCTAAATGTCAACTAGTTAACTAGTAAGGCCTAAATTCTCTCTAGTTAACTAGTTAAAATGTTTCATATCTTACTAGTTAACTAGTATTGCTCAGTGTGTTCACTAGTTAACTAGTGGACAGATCAATGCCCACCAGTTAACTAGTTAAAACACATTTAGTTTTTACTAGTCAACTAGTAAGGTACAAAAACTCGTACTAGCTGACTACTGAATGTAAAAATCCCACTTGTTAACTTTGCCCAATTTGGCCAGCCGCTTGAGCATTAATTCTGATATCTTGTCAACAGGTCAACTAGTTAACTAGTGAGGGTCAAACTGTACACGCTAGTTAACTAGTGAACACATTTTGACCTTCACTAGTTAACTAGTTGACACAAAAATGGCTCATTAGTTAACTAGTAAAGGCCAAAATGCATACCAGTCAGATAGTTGAAGGTATTTGTGTCTCACTAGTTAACTAGTCAGGGTCAAAATGAGCCCACCAGTTAACTAGTGGGAGACGGAAATGTT